AGCTAAACTTTACAAGCTCTGTACAGGATACCCTGGCCAGAAGCCCATCATTGCAGGGAACCAGAAAGACCCCTGGCCCTGGAGGAAAGAGACGCTGCTGACAGAGAGAGAGAGAAAGAGAGAGAGAGAGAGAGAGAGAGAGAGAGAGAGAGAGAGAGAGAGAGAGAGAGAGAGAGAGAGAGAGAGAGAGAGAGAGAGAGATGGATTTGTGGCTTAAATGCTACATAAACGTCTGTTTTTGTCATCATTACCACCATCGTCCATTCCCCCAGTCCCCAGATAGCACTACCCCTCGGTTGCGGGATTCCTTTGTACTGTAATTTCACAACCTATAATCTCTAAACCCTGGCTACAGATATTGAGCTACTCAGATTGATTATCCTCTGTGGTCCCTTCCCACTTTTGAGATTCTTTGAATTTCTGAAAATTGGTCACTTTTACAAACTAGAGTTCTTGGATGAAGAGATTGTTGGCTCTTACTCCACTGCTACTTTGATCCCTCTGCTGCACATTTCAGACCATAAATTTGGTTTCCCAAGGTTTATTCACAAAGAACATAAGAAATCTACCTTGCAAAAAAGCTAAATGTTTTTCACCTACTAAACTGCTGGAGTCCACTGAGAATCCTTGGGCTGAATCTTTAACCCACCATGGTTTGTGGGGGTCCTGGAGAGCCGTCTGCAGATGCTGGACTCAGCTCCGGCCCCACGTGAGAATGGGTGTTGTTCTCTGAAGACTTTCCTCTCCCAGACATGAGACTGGCATCAGCTCAGTTTTTGAACCCCAAGCCAGCCTCCCTTGGTTAGTCAGTCACTGGCTTGTTGGATACTTCACTCATCAGGTGAGTGATTAGGAATTAATTCCTAATTCACCGGTCACAGTCCCCCTCCTCTAGTCAAGGTAGAGAAAAAGGAGCAATGTGTTCGAGGAATGTTAAGCAGGTGTAACATTTTCCCATATCTTCAGAGCACCCGGATCTGTACGAACACGCTTAATCCTTACAAACTGCTATTATCAGGGTTGTTCTTTACAGTCACCTTATCGTATAGGTCCCCATTTTAAAGATGAGGACACTGCAGCTCAGATCTAGTCAATAATCTTTCAGTTTGGATCAGAGCCCAGACTGGAATTCCAGCGTTTTCACCCCATGCCACATCCGCTCTGTGTATACAAAATCCTTTGTTAACATGCTAGCTAATAGTCATAATAATAGCTAGCATTTGTATAGAACTTTAAAATATGATCTCATTTGATCCTCACGACAGCTCTGGGAGGCAGATGCCATTGGCATCATCAGTTTACGGATGAGGAAACGGAGTTAGTTAGAGGTGAAGTGACTTGTGTAGGCTCACCCAGCTAGTAAGTGTCTGAGGATGGATTCGAACTCAGGTCTTCCTGGCATCCAGGTGCATCTGTCTAGCTGCCCTTAAAATAGCATTTATTGAAATTCACTTTTACTTGGACGGGCCAGAATTTACCTTTATTTAATGAAAATCCGACTTCTGTCACTTTTCATTGTCCAGGCCTGTTAGGAAAGCCTAAATTAATGTAGCAGAAATGTAGCTTGCTTCATAATTTCTTTACTTACCTTGTTGGTTGGTGCTCTTCTAAGTAGACTGTTTCTTGTTGTATACAAATGGTCATCCACTTTTATTTCTAACTTTCAGACTCTTAAGGCTTAAAAAAGTTACAGCTGGTCTTCATCCTCTTTCTCCCTTTTGTTGTACAAAAGCACCTGCACCTTGTTTAGTAGAACCTTCCGAATGGGGTCTTCAGAGTGGTTGGATATGCCCCCTTTTGCATAGAAGGATCCCTAGTGGATCACATCAGCCTTTATTCCTGCTGGGGAATTGAAGCCTGGGCCCATGGACTGTGGATTAGGAAAATCAGTATTTTCAGTGCTACTGACATGTCACTGAATCAGAGGCTTTGAGAGCATCCCAGATTCTTCCATTGAATTTGAAAGTAGATAGAATGAAGCTTCTGGAATTGAACTAACTCTTCAGTTCTTGGATTCGGCTTTTATTAACAGTTTCTGTTTCTTTTTAAACAAACATGGAAGTGAAAAATTGCATGGTATGTAAGATACTTCCCCACATATGCGGCACATGCATTGCGTTCAGACAAATTTGCTTTAGGACAGCACTGAATTGCGATCTGGGCCTGTTTCTTTGACTCTGAAGGTTTAAATCAAGAGATTAAACTATAATTTTAATTCTGGTAACCATTTCAGACAAAACTTCATTTTCTTTTATTCGTCTTGTCTCTAAATACAAGACGTTCATCCAGTAGTAATTTAAATGTGACTTGTGTGGCACTGAGATTTCAAAATACAGATGTATTTTAATTTATAAAAGTGTGGTCTTCCTAAAAAAAAGTTGTAATTAAATTGAGTTTTTGCAGTTTTATATTTTGTAAATCCGATCATATTTTAAATGTACTGGAGGAGTTTCTATGGAAAAAAAAAAGCTCTTAGAAGGGAATTTTTTTTGCATAGCAAACAATCATCTTGTTTGTTTTATAATTCTGGGTTTTCATGTATGGGGTTTGCTTACGATGAGTCACACTGCCTTCTCTTGGGTAGACGTTCATTATCACCATTTTACACTTTGTGTACAATTTTAAAGATAAAGTGATTCATGTGCCAAGCATGGGAAAGTCATAGGGAACTTTAAACCCTTCATGATTGGCCTCAACTCCCTTATTGTGGGAGAAGAGGTTAAGTAGCATTTCGTTTCAGTCTGTTCACCTTGTGTACATACGTCAGCAGCGCTTTATTGTTTATTCTTAAAAAGTCGTTCAATGAGCTTTTTTCTTCCTGCCTTTGTAGTTTGCTTCGGCTCGCGGTGGCATCTTCTGAATGAGCCGTCAGCCTGTGCTTAGCTAGCATGTGGGTGAGTGACGAACACTCTGTGCTGTCTCTTTTACCCAGAATCGAACGGCCTGCATGAAAGTAACCCCTCTCTGGAACTCTGCTCCTCTCTAATGAAAGCCTTTCATCATGAGCTGATCTTACGAAAGACCGATTAATTTTAGGTCTGCGTTTGCATTGGGTAAATTGACATGATTTTATGAAGAGGTTACCATTTCCAGTATTCATCAGATGGTTTCAATTGCTCTTGGAAACCTTTAGGACAGGAGTAAAAAAATGTCCAGGCCGCCTTCTTGCCCTCTAGCCTTCCTCCAAGATGACAGCAACGGCAACCCAATGATAAGAGAGAAAAATGCACACCAAGTGGCAAATGAGTATTAATGTTACAAACATCGCAGATCTGAAGAAATGTAACACGATGGAATGTGCCCAGAGTGGCAGAAGGCAATTCTGAATTAGAAGAAATGTTGAGAATATTTGTTGAGAATGATTTTCTTTTTATTTTTAATAACACTAAATGTGCTTCAGATTCTGCCCAATCGGAGACCTCATAGAACCTATCTTAATGTTTTAATAATTAGTCCAGTGGGTTCTCTTATGTTATCTAAAAATTCCCTTTATAACTGTGTTCATTCTATTGAAGTCCTTGATACCTCCCTGAAAAAATTCAGCCTGGTCTATGTGTGAATTTTCACAAAAGTCTGAATTGATGGGCTCATCAGCGAGTGAAGTTTATATAGAGTTACAATGGTTACCTTGATCCTGGTGACTTTTCATAACATTTTCACTTTCAGACTTTTTTGATTTAAAGATGCCTGTGATTACATTTGGCACTCTTGTATTTCACGTATGTCATTCCTGTTTATCAGGCATTTCTTTAAAACAGTTTTAATAGCCCACAAGATTCTAATTTAAAAAAAAAAATTAAATCTGTTCATTTGTAGGCACTAACTTAGGACAATTCACATCTGTAATTTTCTGTCATTTGAATACAGTAGTTTGATAATTCAGTTCAACAGTTTTTTTTCTTCAGCTTCTGTCATATAGAAGGCAGTTTGTTAAGGACGGGGGATACAAAGGCAAACCTCGGACAGCCCCCTTCTTCCAGAACTTCCGTTCTCCTGGGGTGGGACGTAGGACAAAGTGTATGCGAGTCATAAGTAACGTGAGGAGCTTGAGAGGGCTCTTTTGGGTAGCTTTATCAGAACACATCGATGGCTGTAAAAGCATTCCACACTTGCTGTCCCTGAGCTTTGTTAGAGCAGTTTATATCGATGGAGAAGATAGGTTAGTATTTCTGATCTAACACCAGCATGATCGATAAACCAACTTCATAATGAATGTACAGTTGTAACTTGTAAAAGGCTAATTATTATATGTATGGGATCTATTTTTCATTTTGCAAATCGATTTAGAAAATCAGCTCATTTCTTTTGTGATTTCACAAACTCATTATTACCTCTTCTGTTAAATTTTGCATTATGTACAATGTTGGTGGGAGAGGGGGATGGATAGCTGGGGCTGGTGCCTTTGAAGCTTCCCTCTGATTTCTTAATCTCGTTTGGTTGTTTATCTCCAATGGCTTTTTTAGCCTAGAAATTTATCTGGCTAATCCATTTCCTTGATAATTTTAATCTGGGAAGCCTTGTGAGGGCCACAAGGGTTTAAAAACTAGACCACTAGTTTCAAATAAAACTTAACTTTTCAAACTCTGAAGTGTTGTATTGCCAAGCAGTATTTAATGGCAAAGGCCATTGTAAAGATTTGGTGGCCTCCTTTTGCTAGGGAAAACAAGGGCTTTTTGCTTGTCATAGGTCCATTATTAAGCTTCTTTTGGGGCAATGGAGCTGGAAGAATTAAATAGTTTTGATGCCTTTCTTTTTAACAGAGTTGGGTTCAATTTTGCATCATCCATTTTTTTTTCCCAAAAAGAGAACAAATAATTTTGGAAGGTTATAGAGTTAGAGAAATATTGAAAGATTCGTGGGATTTAACTTTGAAATCTTTCTAGACCTTCAGGCTAATTACTAGGCCTTATATCACAGTTAGATGTTAGAAAATGTTTTGTTCTTTTTTAGTCCCAAAAGTTAACAGAAAATTTTACTTCTTGCCTTTTATCCTTTTCCAGTCGTGGCTACGATTGTCATCTTGAAGAAATTGGGATGGAGAATGTTCCTTGATTGTGCTGCTCAAAAACCTGCCCACGTCTGTTTTTCTTTGAGAAAAGGCGTGACTGACGGACGACAAGCTGCTTTTCAGGTCCCTTGAGAGAGAGAGAGGCAGCGCAGAGACAGCTAGATGACACTGGATCACGAAGACAGCTAGAGCCACCTTGGGAGGGCAGCGGTGCTTTTGGAGGGGCTGACGTGCGCCTTGACTGATGAACGGATGGACCCGAGACGAGCCCGCCAGCGCTCTCTTCTCCCCCCCCTTTTAAGATTTGAACTTGATGGTTCGCCTCTTTGATTTATTTATTTTAGGGTGATTTTGGGATTTTGGGGGGTTCTGTTTCAGTTTGAATGACTTGTGCAATACATATGGAGGTGGAATTTGATAGATTTTTTTCCTGATGAATTAGAGGAATCTGACTATGTCATCCAGATTTGATTTGATTTTTTTTTTTTTGCTAAGGACTAGTTCTTTAAGCTTTTGCTTCTGATGAATCCAAATGGCAGTACCTCATTTATTTACTTCGCTTTTGTACTTATAGTTTCCAGGAAAAAAATACTGTAAATTGTAAATAGTTAATACATTACTGCATCATATGCTGATCTGTGACTGTTGGCAATGTCAATCTAGGATGAACAGAGGAAAAAAATAAAGTTTTATTTACTGTATAAAACTCAGTATTTGTGTTTCTTTAAAAAGAATTCTTTTCAGTGATCACTTATTTGTTTTTTTCTTTTACTCCCTCTCCCTGCCCACCCCAGTCCTTCCCCTAAGAAAGAAAAACAAAATCCTCATAACAGATATGAATAGTCAAGCAAAACAAATCTCCATATTGACTGTTTGCAAAAATGTTTGTTTCATTCTGCACATTTATTTCATTGCCTCACTGGCATTTTTCATCATTGGTTTTCTGTGTTTCTAAGTTGAAATTCTCTTAAAAATAATGAGTGCCCTCTAAAAGTAAAAATATGTACTGAACGTCATATTCTTTGAAAAAATGTATGTATCATTTATGGAGACCTCTCTGTCCTCTCCCCTGCCAAGGTTGAACTTTGCCTTATGACAAAGAAAAACAGTGAAGCGAAGACGACCGATTTAATGTTTGCATCTGCAGCACATGCAGCATTTTGCCTGCAGAATCCCATCTCTTTGCCAAGAAGAAGGTGACAGGTTTCCTCGTGTGTTTTTCAGGACCGTTCTTCGTGTTTCAGTTACTAAGGGAACTCATGTTTGCTTTTTTTAAATTACGTTTTCCTGTACACTGAACGTATTGTTCTTTTGGTTCTGCTTCTTTCACTGTGCATTTGTTCATATACATCTTCCCACGTTTCTTTGACTTGCTCTTATTTTTGTCATTTCTTGTGGTACCATAAGGGTATCTGGGTGCTTGGAGTTGGGCAGACCTGAGATTAAATCGTATGTTGGACACTAGTGAGTCCAGACCTTGGGTGGATCCCTTCATCCTTTGGGCTACAAAGGAGCAGGTTGGACTTGATAAGGAAGGTCCCTTCCAGCTCTAAATCTGTGATGCCAGGAGTGATGTTCCGTTACATTCCCCGGAAAGTTTCTTCAACCTTTCCCTGATTGATGGGCCTCCCCTTTGTTTACATTTCTTTGTTACTAGACAAAGCGGGGTCATATATATTCTTGTATGTATCGGACCTTTGTTTCTGACTCTGATCTCTTTGGGGTGTGTGTCCCTATGATAGGGTTTTTGGGCCAAACCGTGAACAGGATGGTCACTTCTGTGGCTATGCCATTGGTATATGTGTGCTTATTTCCACATGCTGGGGTGGGGTGGTGCGGGTTCATTTTTATCTGTTTTGCCAGGTAGGAGGTGAAACCTCAGAATTGCTTTAATTTGTTAATGAGGTTATGAAGAGACAGATAACACTCATTCATTGCTAGTGAAATTGCAAACTTGTGATTTTTTTTTTCTTGGTGAGTAGGCTGGTGTTAGCAGACAGCAAAATACAAATTAATTGTGCTTTTTGACCCAGTAATTCCATTATTAGGAATATAACCTAATCCTTATCAAAACCAGTAAGAAAGCTGTTGAAGGAATTTCATAGCAGCATTATTTTTAATTTCAAAAAAGTGGAAGCAATGATAGAATGATTAAATAACTTGTGGTACCTTCGTGTAATAACTAACTCTGATATAATTATAACCGACAAATTGGAAGAATATTTTTTAAAAAGCTCTAACATAATTGGGAAACAGCGTACAGCCAAAATTAGAGCACATACCAATTTTGACCGGGGTGGGGGGCAGCAGTGGCGCCATAGAGAGCTCCTCCATCGGGAAACTTCTTCCCCTAACACAGGTCAGCACTCTCTGCAACTTACCAGTGAGTGGTAGATGACTTGTCCAGGGTCACACAACCAGACTGTGTCAGAGGCGGGGCTTGAATCTAGGTCTTGCTGGCTTCGAGTAGCTGACTGTCCTCCACCCCATGCTCTCGTCGTGCTGACCCTCACAGCTGTGATGCAGAATAGAAAAAGATCATGAGAATGAATGGCCAAGCAAAGAGTCCTGATGGAGATTTGGAGGAAGCGACTGAGGTCTTACAACGTTTCATGGGTTGGAATTAGTTTCTCTAAATTTAAATAGTTAAAAAGCACATTTAATTGAAAAAACAATATAGGCTATCATTGATGTAATTTGTTATTTTTAACTGTAATTCAAATTCATCAGATTTTAAAAGAAAAACTTTAACTTTGCTTCATTGTGACTGTTGATCATGTGGCCTGTACTCTGTTGATCATGTGGCCTGTACTCATAACACCCTTCTGACACCTTTGTCAGCCTGTTTCTTTCTGCACAAAACATAATTTCCAGCAAGCCTTTGTGTCTGCGGTTAGTCGGGGATGGTGTTAGATTCTCAGCATCATGGTGTCTGTGAAGGTGCCTTACTGCAAGCCTTCACTGCAGCCCAGGGAATGACCTCCCGCAGTAAAGACCTACTCCCAGTGGGAACTTGAGCTTTTTGGCCTTAAACCCAAGTGAATTTATAGATCGAAGGAGTGTCCCTTCTGCCGTGCTGGGTGGCCGACAGCCTGAGCAGAGCAACAGAACTTGGTCAAGAGACCGTGCAAGGAGGGAAGTTGGCAGGAAAGTGAGCAGTGGAGGATCGTGCCATCATCTGTTCAGAGCAGTCCCCTAGTTCTTCCTTGTTTCCATAGCAGGAAACTGAGGCCCAGAGAAGTGACATTGCTAGGCCAGGGTCACCGAGGCAGTAAATGGATGAGGCTGGATTTGAACCTGGGTCTGCTGACACAAGGCTAATTGCTTCCTGTATTATCCCTTACTTCTGCTACTGTTCATTCAATCTGTGCTCTCTCTGTGTATGCCCTCCACGTGTGCAGATCGTGGTTTCGCTATGTTCTCATCTTGTGGGGTTCATCCATTAACAACCTTTTATTGAATGTCAGCTGTGTGAGATCCTAAACACCAAGGATACAGACAGAAAAGAGACTTAACCTTGTGTTCTGGAGTCCTCAATAATAACAATAATGATAACTAGCATTGATATAGCGCTTACTCCGTGCCAGGCACTCATAACAGCCTTGGAAGGTGGATGCTATTTCTGTCGCCATTTTGCAGTTGAGGAAACAGAGGCAAACAGGTGAAGTGATGTCCAAGGTTACCCAGCTAGTAAATGTCTGAGGCTGGATTTGAACTTGGGTCTTCTGACTCCAGGCCCGCTGCTCTTTCCACCACGCCACCTAGCTGCCTGTCTTCCTTGAATGTTTTATATTTTGTTGATACCAGTGCAGCATTTGGGCTATCATCCCTCATCCCCTTGCTCTGTGACTAGCCCACCCACCCTTTCTGATCCTATAGTTTCCTCACGATAACCCTAACAACTCCTCTGGTAGGTCATCACTGAAAATGTGTTGCGGCCTGCTTGAACCCATCATGAGTCTCTCCACTGTTTACCACTGTCACCTGCAACTTGGGTTCTTCACAGAGTAGAGTGTTCCTTGATCTGCCCGTGTACTACATTTCAGGATAATATTTGTGTTTAACAAGATGGATCTTGGAGCCATTGTCCTGCTTGGGGTCCCGTGGGAGCCTGAGACTATTTTCCAAATGTGATCCAGCTCCCTTTTACTAATTTTCAATTCTGGGCTCACCTCATTGCCCATCCACAGTGGCCTCCCAGGTCTGTGTCCTGATGTATTCACTCGGTGGCCCACCCATCCGTCCACCTGCACGTCATAGTCCAGACAGCAGGTGCTGTTTGTCCATCTTGGTTTTTCTCTGTGGATCGCCTGACCAGGAAACATGGATTGTACTGTGGGAGGCCCTGTGAGGTTCTGAGTCTTACTGCATTTGGTACAATATCACCCACAAATAGGAGCATCTGAAGGGCCTCCCCGTCTACAGGGACTTCATCTAGATGAGAAGATGAGATGAAGGGAAAGAATGTCTTTGGTAGGTAACAAGTCATTTTCCTAAAGTTCTAAGGCATTACTTCAGACAATTGGATGTTGGTTTTCTTAGGTGGCCCATAACCTGACTCTGAAAGGCAATGCCAAAGTGGCATAGAAACGTGGAACAAGGGCAGCGTGGTGGGAAGAAGAACAGCCTTGCATGGTGGCTGGAGTCAGAGGACCTGGCTTTGAATCCTGCTTCTAACACATTCTGCTTGCATGACCAGGGGCAAACGATTTGACTCTGTGGGCTGTAGCTCTCAGTTGTAAAATGATGGAGCTGGATTAGATGGCTTCTGAGGTCCTTACAGCCCTAGGTCTAGGATCTCTGTGGCTGCCTAGACCAACAACATTTAGCGTGCTAGAACCACAGATTTGGAGCCAGAAGGGACCTTGTAAGAGTCTCTGAGGGACTGGAAGTAAGGAATGGAGTCCAGACTTGAACCCAGGCCCTCGGACTCCAAATTCAGTATTCTTTCCATTGAATCGCTTTGGGAATAATGATTTAGTTTCATGAATTGGTAGTCCCATCTTGTCTCCTCTCCTCTGTCCAACCGTAGGCCAGGGCACAAATCTCGTCTTCCTTGTTAGGATGTGAGCTCCTTGCGGGGAGGTGTAGTTTCACTGAAGTCTTTGGAGCCGCATAGCACAGTGTCTGACACATGGTAGGTGCTTAACACATGTTGTTACTGATTGATTCACTGGTCTCTTTCCAGTTTTCTTCCCTTATTTAAAAATTAATGCCTTTTTTATATTATAGTCACATCCCAATATACTGACACACTGCCCCTCTTGACCTTCCCTCCCCCCCAACAAAGAAAAACAGTTAAGCATGGTGGAGTGACAGAACCAGGCCTACTAACACATGATACAGGCCACTCCCATAACCCTCCAGCCTTTTCACTGGGCCGAGAGATGTATGTTAAGTGCTTTGTTCGTGGCAGTCAACCAGTCAGGCATGAGATCAGTCATCAAGAATTCATGAAATGCCTACTGTGTTCCAGGAAGAGGCAGTGTGGTATACTGGAAAGAGAACTGGCTTCTGAGGTAAGGAACCTGTGTTTGAGTCCGGCCTCTGGCGCAGACGGACTTGGCGTCCTGGGAGAACCCTCTCAGCGCTCTGGACAGCGAAGACTATACGTTATGAGAAGGTGCTCACCATGTTGGTGGAGGGAGTTCTTCATCTGGGAAGTCCACATACAAATGAAATCATGGGTCCAGTCCCTTTCTCCAA